TGAGGAACCTCCTGCACACTCAGGCAGAACAGAGACGTGACCCATTTGCCCAGATTGTGCCTTTAGTAACATGGTCAGGTCAAAGGAGGTGATTCTCCCCCTCTACTCTGCTCTCGTGGGACTCCACCTCGTGCTCACAACGTAAGAAGGACATGGAACTGTTGAAACAAGTCCAGAGGAGGCCATGAAGTTGATAAGAGGACTGGAGCATCTTCCTGGTGAAGACAGGCTGAGGAAGTTGGGGCTGTTCAGCCTGGAGAAGCGAAGACTACATGGAGACCTCATCGCAACTTTTCGATATCTGAAGGGCCTACAAGGGAGCTGGAGAGGGACTCTTTATTAGGAACTGCAGTGATAGGACAAGGAGTAACAGATTGAAACTGAAGGAGGGAAAGTTTAGGTTAGATACTAAGAAAAGGTTTTTTCCTGTGAGGATGGTGAGACACTGGCACGAGTTGCCCAGGGAAGTCGTGGCTGCCCCAACCCTGGCAGTGTTCAAGGCCAGGCTGGATGAGGCCTTGAGCATCCTGGTCTGGTGAGAGGTGTCCCTGGCCATGGCAGGGGGTTGGGACTAGATCATCTGTAAGGTCCATTCCAACCCCTAAAATTCTATGATTCTATGAAGTATGACAGCTATTTAGGATGTGGAACCCACAAATTCTGAGCAAAGGCAGAGCTAAGATGAGGTAGAAATCCCCAACACTACACTGCCCCAGGCTGATTTCTACCCAGCAATTCACAGCCAGAGAGTATCATAATCTGTGCTGGCATGGATGGGTGATGTGAGTAGATTCATTCAGATCTAGCTTTTACAATAATCCAAAAACAAACCAAAGGAAAATAATTTCCTGAAACTTGGCACTCTGCAGGCCACCACTTGGGTAAGGTGGGACTTTGCCAGGGTGAATGCAGGCAGCATGCACAAAGGCCTTTAGCATGCTTAACCCTCTTCCCTTCCCAGAGAGTTGCCACCAGTCATTATTTCTAACTCATTTTCTGCTATTCACATGCAGTTTTTCCTTTACAGCTTCAGTGAAGCAGCTGGGTCCAGACTGGGGATTAACCAAAAAGAATATCTGCAGTGATATATATCTTATACTTGACTGTGATGCTAAATTTACATTAAAGTAATTCACCTACATCATTTCTTTCCAGTTCACATAATCACTAGGAAACCTATGTCATGGCACGAGAATAGAGAAGAGCCAATAAATGGTAAGAAATCTCTGAAAAGCTTGTGATAATTACATAAGAAAATCACTAATAAGTAAGATTTAAGAATTCCAGTTAGTCTGAAATACCATGTATGTGGAAACACCTCAGTGACAGTAAAGTTAAACTCATTCATGATTTTTATTAAATATAAAGCAGTTTTTTTCCACTTTATGGCCCTTTCCTATTACTTTATTATCAGCATGAGCTTGCATCCGTGCAATTATGCTTTTATTTTTTAATTAAAATATATATACTATAAAATATATACATTTACATATATTCATAGTATAGAATTCGGCTTGAGCATCTAAACCTCTCAGGGAGAAAACAAAAGTACCTAGAAACATGTTTTATACATACATGCTGCCTATCATTGCAGATTCTACCTAACCACCTATTAAACTGCTGCAATAGCTGCCCAGTCTTGCTTTAGAGCACTAGTAGCAATAACCCTTATAGCAGCTGCTCCCTCAGTTCTACCATGATAATTTTGTCTAAAAACCTAAATGGTCAGGCAAGGTTGGCCTGCTCTGGTCAAAGTCTGGGGGGAAGAAAACCAAACCAGGGAAAGGCTGCAGGTCTCAGTTAAATGAGGAGGAGGAGAGCTGCCATGGAGTACCGGTTGATACTAGATGTGGTATAGAAGTAAGATGCTGCAACACAGCAGAACAGGGATGACAGAATTAACAGGAGAGTATTGTCAGGCAAATCTTGACAGTTCATCAAGAAATATTTGAGCAGAAACATCCCCTGCATGCTCTGACAGTATCACTCACAGAAGCAGAGGCTGCCTGCAGCCTTGGCTTTCTTGCCAATTACAACACACATCCACAGGTGACTTTCTTTTGTTTGTATTTGTGTCTCTTAAACCAACAGCCGAGTTCCTGAATCTTGTTCACCATGCAGCACTGGAGCCAACAAAGAAATATTCTGAGCCACAAACTGAAAGCCAAGAAATTGGCTGGAACACAACACCTTTGGTGAGTAGAGTGCTTAAGGACTCAGCTCCTTGCAGAATTCAGAGATGTTTAGTTCATCACACTGAACGATATTCATGAAGAAAACAACTTGTGACAAACATGGAAAAGACGAATGACTAGGAATGAGCAGAGCTGTTCACAGATAACAAAGTTTTTAAAATGTACACCTAAGAAGACTTTTCACACTGGCACAGGCTTGTGAACACAGAAACAGTTACCTTCTCCCTGAGAAACCTGAATGTAAAGTATCTGTATCTATATGACAGTTGACCTCAAGCATAATACCAATGCCACATGTGTAGTCACGGCTGCTTATTAAAGCATTCAGCCACAAGAAATGGTCCTAGTGAGCAATGTGAACTGATGTACATAAGTACTGTGGAAAGAAATGTGCTGCTCCACAGTATCTTTCAAAAAAATTGCAAGTAGAACCATAAAATTAATAATCATCTAAGTATACCCGAGGCAGATGGACCAATGAGGACTCATTTGGGGAAGTGTGAATAAACAGGAAGAAAAGAAGTATGACTAACAAGCTGAGACATCAATCACATCTGACAAACAAATAGCTGTGATTGACTTTGTAGATGAGTGTTTTGAGAAAGGCAAATGAGGACTTGATTCATTTTGGCCTGTTACAAAGAAAACTAAGATAAATAAAATAAGCAAACTTGTCGTATTACACGTCAAGTAAAGTAGTTACTAACGACAAGGGTAGAGACAGACATCCCAGCTGGGCTTTATGGTGTTAAGATACTGCTGGTAGGATGAGACTGGCAGGAAAAAGGCAACTAAACTTGCATGTGTGGAAGTCAGTTAAGTGTATGGAGTCAGGACTCATTGTGCTATTCAATTCATTACATTTTTCACCAGGTTCTACTATAAGGAAGCAGTGAACAGAATATTGGTACCCTGTTTGTTTGGCACTTGGGCATTTCTCAGCAGCAGTGTGCATCACTCTTCCCAGAAGGAGCTGTTACTACTAATTTTAGTAAAAGCAAATGACTATTTGTCATTTTTCTTCCCTAGATTCCCATGGACCGTCGTGACTGCAGGCTGTACTTCCCACGCCGGGAAACCGACATCACTAGATAAATGGCTGACTTGGGGCACAGGGAGGAGGAGTCTAAGAACTTGCAGTAGTAGAGAGGGAAAGGCACAAACAAGTAAACTGTTAATCACATCTAAGTGTTAGGCCCTCCTTGTTATTAGGTGAGTCTGGTAAATTTCTAGCAAGAGATAGTGAGAAAAGGGAAGACAGAACCTCAGTCTGTCCAGATTTTCAGCCTGACAACAGGCAGAAATAAACCTGTTTATAAGACTGCTGCATTCATTTCACTGTTGTTTCTAAACCCATCTATATAAATAGTCTAAAATACCACTCTAACATCTTGACAGGCTTCAGACTTCTTATTCTGACAACAGCAATATGACCCAGAACTCAAGTTCACCAATTTCATGTCAACAGTAGCTGTGAAAAAAGCTGTCAGAATTATGGGAACAAAGGGCAGGCTGCAGCCACCATTCATAAAACAGCTAAACATGAGTTACACACAATTTGGTGCAAACCATTTAATGCATTCGCACACCAAAGGTTTAAATAGAAAACAATCCTTCAACAAAACAGACAGTAAGAAGAAATTAGTGATAAGGCACTAGCTTCCACTGACTTTTTTTTCCATCCTCCTTGGAAGCATCCAGCTTGCTCTATGGTTAGCTGTTTGATGACAGCAGAAACGTAAGAAGCCCCTGGGGAGCACAGTCCTCCTAGCGCGCTCGGTTCTTCATCTTCTGCCTTGCTCTTTTTCCAGGTCTCTTCTGCAAAAAGTGAAAAGATTCAGATCTTTATTTTCACATCCTCAGTCTTTGTTCTATTTCTATAGCTTGGGGGGATACCAAGGAGAGGGAATTTGTCACTATGTTTGGAGAAGGAGGTTTTGGCACACAGGTAGCAAACAGTACTAACCCCCCTGCTTATTTCCCTACTGATACCAAACCATTGTCCTCAACTCTGTCAATAAACTGAATTATGCTCAGCTCCCAAAGACAGGCATTATAACTTCTGAAGTGACTCATCATAGCTCTCCCTCCCAGACACAGGCTGGCTTCCTAGCCAACCAGGATCATTTGCATGCAACATTTTACTTACATTGAGGGCTTTTTTTCCTCCTTTTCCTGTTCTTCCTGGGCCTTTGTTGTGAGCCACCTTTGACTGGAAGCTGGACACGTCGTTAAAACTCTCCTTTGTGTTCCACTTTGAGCCCTTCTTCTTCCCACCAAAACCAAACTTCTGATTTTTGTATCGTCTTTTGGCATTTGGTCTGAAAAACAACCGAACCAGTGTCACTGCCTGTATTCCTTTCCTCAGGAAACTATCAAGGCACATGTATGTGCTGAGGGACTCCCATCAGCCATCATAAATCATCATAAAGATACAGAAATTAGCACATTTAAGTCTATGTTCCTTTCTGGCCACAGTTTTCCTTTGCTCTAGGGACAGAAAGCAACCTTCGACTTCGTTTAACAAACACTAACAAGAACATCCTTCTTGTTCCCCAAAATTGTCCCCTAAAAGGACTGAAAAAAAGCCAGACATTCTGTGTTTATCTTTCATTTCTGGTCTCACCCCTTCTTTGTCCGTTGGCTTGCGTTGCCTTTTTTATTCCCCTGAGACGTCTGGTCTTCATCTAGAAAGTCCAGCTTGTCAGAGAGACCTGCAAGAGCAAAGACATCACAGCTACCAGCACAGAAAATACAAACTTCCAGTCTAAGCCAGTAATAGCAACAGGTCACCCTCACTGAAGAACAGCTGCTCAGGAGGCTTTTCACTGCCACTGGCACATGATTCTGCACAACAGCAGCCTCCCAAGCTCAAGGCCCAGAACTACAGATGTAGTGGCTACAGATGTAGTGGCCACACATCACACTGCCTTAGATTGCTCACACACCACTACTGCCAGGACACATTTGCTCTCTTAGACAAGTTAACTTTACCTTTCTGGTACTTCTTGACTGCATTCAACATATTTTTTTTCTCCTTTTGTCTCCTCTGCAAAATCTCAGTTTGCACCTGAGGGTAGAAGCAGAATGTTAGTCTTGTTCCTTGCAGTGTCCTGTGCATTTTTTTAAGGTATCCCATCTTTTGCTCTGTTTTTCTTCAGAGCAGCTAGACCCAAGATTAGACAGATTCTATGTATTTTAGCCAGATTCCTGTGGTCTCACTTTCCAAGCTCCTCCCTCAGGCTCTAGATTCTCATCACAGATAGGTCCCTTCTGTAGCTCCTCACCTTCTTGCCATATTTTCTCATTGCACGGAGCTGTTTCGCTTTCTCAGACCTTTCCATGGCTTCCTGCTTACTCTTAAGCTTTACTCGAATCTTAGGGGATAGAAAAAACAAAATTTATCAGTAACACAAAAGAAAGTAAGAGACTTTTATGATTCCTGTACAGTTCTGAAATCAATAATTGTATGCAAACTATCAATGAGAAAACATCTCTCAATCAGACATGCTTATGAGGCATAAAATCCTTTCAACTCAAGGCTGGAACGGTTATTACAGAAATTCCTGAACTGATCTGTAGCCAAAATCTGGTTAAAAAGACAAAACTCACAGAGAGACAAGACAAAGCCTTATAATGGGCTCTAACAAAACTGGTAAACAAGAATTTACCAGTCTACTCTGGTATATGAAGAGTCCTTGATAGTTTCTGTCTTGACATTACTAAAAGTAAATCCCTTAAGAAGAGTCAACAATCCAGTGCCATAGGAAAAATCTTTTCAGTTCCCCCCTTGTTCAAACAATTTTTTAAAGATGCTGCATTACAAGGGGTTATCAAGACTTCAACAAGTATCTTCTGGATTCAGTCTATGACTCCACTAAGCGACAAAAACTCATTAGACCGGGAAGATTCACTGCACGTACCTTCTGCATCTGTTGGTCTGATTTTGCCATCTCTGCAAAGTAATCATCTGGCCTCCTGGTTGGAACCTGGAGCTTACGCAGCCTCGGCAGGGCATCCAGGACAGCTGCCTGAGCCTGCCTGTAGCTAGAAGAGAGCACAGCACCAGCTGTCACTGCATCTTGGGCATCTCAGTGTTGACAGAAACTCTGCTCACACGAGCCAGGTAATACTGGGATCTAACAAGCTTTGGTCTAGAATTATAGCAACATTTTGTGCATATCTGGTGCCCCTGAAAGTAATTTAGGTGCCAATACAACATTAATGCTTGTATCTTGCACATGTGCATAGACCTAAGTTCCAGTTACAGTTTTATATGTTGGAATATAAAATCTAAAGTAACACAGCCCAAGAGTGCCACAATGACAGCCAGTGTGGCAGTCAGCAGCACATCAGTGACACAGCTCCAAGCATGCAGCAGTGTGCTGAGACACTACAGGACATCCCTTTTTGGCACTTACAAGCTCATCTCTCTCTGGAAATCATTCTCCGGGTCAACAGCATCTGTGTTAGAAGCACTCTGAGCGACAGGGTCCACGACCGGGCCCAAAGTCACATCCAGCCTTTCCACCCACGCAAGCTGCTGCCTGAATTCCGCCAGGCACTGCTTCAGGCCGTCCTGTAAAAGGAGCACTGCTCTGCACACACCGC